CACTGACAATGAACGATGACATATAGTGACCTTGTAGATCAACGATTCAAACAAGGTGTATTAATTTTGATAAACGTCATTGATGAGATTAGGCGTGTTGAACACAAAATAGATGATGACGATCTTAACACAATTGACAAGATGACATCATTTCCAATTTTATCACAAGTAGAAGCAAACCTCAGTTATGATTTATTTTTCCTTGAAGTTCTACTGTCACTCCCCTGTGAAGGAAAAGGATAGTACCTTGAAGCAAGCGGGGTTAGAGAAATGATTAGTTAGATGCGAGACTTGGTAAGATTTTTCATTGAATTAGCAGTCTTGTACCAAACCCGCGTGCATAGTAAGGGAGGGTATGGTTTCTGTTGGGGAGGAGGTATAGCTGTGAAGGGAGTACGACGGGTTCCGCCACCTATGTTAACTTTTCATCACCTTGGTGATGCAACATTGTTGACATATCAACTTTCAAACAATCCTCCTACTCCTCACTTCTACTCGTGTGTCTTGTTGCCTTTTAAAGATAAACTGTTTTTCTAATAAGACCCTAGTAGAGAGTCAGGTTACGAGGCAAGCTGCTGGATGATTAACATTGAGTCATCTGGTAGTCAATGTGGTCGCGTGTCGGGTGAATTGACATTTCACAGGTGGTGTTAATAATACCAGGGATACCAAGTTTTTCAACCATTTTGCTGGCTGATTAAGATAAGAGTCTGGTGATCTATCATGATGTGGATTATAAAGCTGAATTCTAAATTCCATCCAGGAGTTTTGCCCTACTTTTTTTCAAAATCGTGCTTTATTATGATAATGTGGGAAAATTGGCAATTCGTTGGGTCAAAGTTGGCAACAAACTCGTTGTTCTGGCAAAATCTCGATCTCTGCTGAAAAGAAGAACCCCTAAGAAATGTAAGTTAGTGAGGAGAGCCAGGGACTCGATGCAATGCAAGACAACTTGATATAAAACATACCTGACTGCTAACTAGGTGGTTACCTTCATATGTACAAAAAGCAATTGGCTCAACATGTTGTTATACACATTGAGACTTGAGACCACCAGTGGTAGTGTCAGTTGCTTGTACATTGCACATTGCAGGATCTTTGAGGTGAACCATGAAACTGTCACTAGTCACAACAACCCATACTGAAATTCACCTTTTCCATGAATCAATTATTTTGTTCACAATTGACGGGCAGAAAAAATTCATCAAGAGCTTTAACATATTTGGGAGAAGATAATATTATGCCCCCGGGCTTTATTTTGCTCTTTTAAATTAGTGTAATGGACCTATTTACAACCATCTATCACCTTCGTACCATTGTGGGATCCACAGTCTCTACTGTCCACCCCTACACGCTTTAGATAAAAGAGAGACTCCTGGGAGAGACTGTTCATCATGCCTTTATACTTATTTTTCTCAATCGGGTGAGTCGAGGCCAGAAAATGAGAAGATCACTGTTCAAAGGGAATCCAAATTTTATACGTTTACGTCATTTAAAATAGTGCTGACTTTGACCTTCTTTAGTTCTTAATGTCATTGTTCACATGTTCATAGATTAACTGAGGTACAACTGATGGGAACGCATGAAGGATAGCAAATAGGAAGAACAGCCACATATTGAACAGAAAAGATGAAGATCCTTTCTTCCCACTCATATACGTACACTGTCTTAGTTTACTCAACACTGGAAAGATAATATCTTGGTAGGTCTACTGACATAGGATAGAAAAGTCAGAGATCGCGCCCCCACGAAATAAAGCCAATTTTCAAAAGGGCGAATGCTAATTGATTGGCCTCATGGTATATAACAAAACAAGTGAATCAGGCAACAAAAATGGTTCCAGCCAGGCCCCTTGTGTACAGCCTCATCTGCAATCGTACCTTTCTAACAATCATCAATTCTTATTTTTAACCACACGAAAGCGATTTATCAAGAACAAAAACATCTAGGCTGTACAGTTGGATGCGGTATCCATGGCAACCAATATATTGTTATCTATCAGAGGCAAATGTCAGCTCGCCTCATGTTGTTTCTAGATGCTTTTTGGATATGAATCAACGGATTTGGTTAACCGTAATAACTGCAGATATCAACTTGAAATATTTCCGACTCTGGATCAGTTTCACTTTTTATTCCTAAAAAATCAGATAGTTCAAATAATTCGCGCCAAAAAGCCTCAAAGCGAGTTATGAAGTTCTTAAGAAGCGAAATCAAATTATTAAAAGGGAAGTACTACAGAACAAGCCTTTCCAGTTCTACAAATATGTCATATGGTCAGTTGATGTGAGATACGGTTTTGGGGATTTACGGATATACATGTACCTTATCACTATCTAGTATCTTCTGTTTGTTTATATAATGTACGCACTACATCTGAAGATGTTCTGTTCTGGGTATATTCCAAATCCATTCAGGTCAACCTATATATAAACCACTAGTGTTTGATGCAGAATGGCGGAACACTACTTAGAACAGAATAATCGAATTATCAGTACGGTACACGTGTCCAAAGTCCCACAAGATCCCGTTGAGCTCAATCAAAAGAGACCACACACCACTGTATTCGCCTTTCGTGCAAATAACCATTTTCGCACGCTCTGGTCTTCACTGCGTTCGACGGCAGCCGAGTGAACGAAGATGGTAAATAACCGTATATGACAATAACCGTATATGACATGACACTGCTGTTGACAAGATTAGTTCTAACAAATGTCACAATTTTGGGAATCACAATAGAACGATATATTTGATAAACGTTGATTTTGATCTTAGTGATTCTTTGATTAGCACCCCCTAATATTACTGACTTTCACAATAAACAAAGTCCAAAAAACTAAGAACTCCACTTCTTTCAACAATGCTATGAAGATATTCAAACATTTTATATGTTATCAAAAATGAAAATCCAGGTTGAATCTATTTCGTGTCACTCCATTCTCATATCCAAAGCCATTAATCAAAATATTTTGCACCATTATACATCCCATTAGGTATAGTGATGACACCTCCATTAAGGACACGGTAAGGTTAAAACTTATCAGTATATCCCCGTATTCCTTGATCTCACTAAATTAACTAAGGTTCTACAAGTTAAATGTTTGTTTAGCGTAGCCTACCGGTGGTTATTCAAAAATCTCCTTAACCAAACCCTTTCGTAATTCTTGCCTTTTCAAGGTTCACAGTTTTCCTTGTTTTAAAAGATTGAGAAATTGAGCAGAGTCTCATTCACTACCATGTGCAAAACGCACAATTGTAACAAGTATGGGCCTCAGAAGACAAGACAAGACAAGAAAGGCATTTCAGCTCACGCAACTCGATACCCTTTGCATTCGTTTGACTTCACTTCTTAAAAGAGAGCTTCGTCTGTAGTTTAACTAGACTCTGCACGCAGGGTAGCAACTCGATGCATCCTCTGTATCTCTAAAAGGGGAGGGGGTGAGCAGTTCTCCGCCATCGATGGCAAAACAGTGATTAATATTTTAAAATGAAGGTAAATCACACGTTAAGGAATTAACATACAACTTAGTATATAAAAATATTGAAAAATAAAAAATAAAGCATGAACTTATTGAACGACCTGGTAGATCTCGATACTCTCATTACCTTTCCAAAAGTTTGGTTGCGCTTCTTTATAACTTAGCTATTATAAGGTTTTAGTCCTCGGGGTCTTTCGAATCATGCTAAGAAACAACAGCCTTACTGTGAACATGAGATTTTCACAGTACTCTTTTTTCTTTTCAGATACTTACACAATATTGACGAGGGTAAAATTTTAACCATCTCTAATGTATATTGTATATGTTTTTATAGGAGTGTTAATGTGTGAATGGCAAATACTCATACTCCATAATTGTGTGCTTTCTGACTTCATCTCGATGTACACAGACATTTTCAAAGAATTACCTCTTATTCAAAGATTACTTGCAGAGATAAACAACCTGGCCTACCTCTGGTAAAAATAGAACATATTCCTATCCACTACCTTACAACAGATCTGAACACAAGGTCTTGGATCGCAGTAATATTTAAGATCAATTTAAGGAATCTTGACGAGGGAGAACAACTAACTTACCAATGAGCTAAAGTAATATTTTTGACACTTATTATAAATAATTGAAAGAAAATGCTATCATGTAAGTTTATAAAGTTATAAAGGAACGAAGTTAAATCTTGTGCACTTAAGGAAGTAGTTGATGAACAGAGAGTTTCAGGTCAGAAAATCTCTGGAAGGAATCTATCATATCTATGTTTACCTGTCAACGATACCGATAAAAATCGGGAGAAATCCCAATTTGTTAGCGCAAAAAAGAAACCCCTCGTTATTTAAATGTTATTATACCCCAACTTTTAAGAAATATCTCTTCTGAGAAACTCCTCAACACAGCTATATTTTGAGCTTGTGATACTATATGATTTTATCATTGATCTATCGTTCATTTAGTGTCTAATGTTATAACCTGTTCCAAGTGACATATAAAATAAGGATTACATAAGTATACATGTATGAGTTCTTATTTCACTGTTGAGGGGGGGGGGGGGTTAGTCGTTCTTCACTCAGTACGGAATATGCTTGCAACGATGGTAAAGATAGATCTATCTGTTACCAGTTACTCATCCACTGGGATAATAAAACAGCGTTTCTCATAAACAAACATCTAATATCACTTATTACTGCAAAAATGTTAAACTCTGAACTCATTTTGTATGCATGGTCTTTTCCATATCGAACATGGTTAAGTTGATATAAAAAATAAAGCTGAAATAACTACAGAGTGTGATTTAAAACTGGGCGAGGTGGTAGGAAGGAGGGGGGGGGGGGGGTGATAAAATCATAGATTACCAAGCTGACGATGATAAACATATATCCTTGGGATATACAATAATCAGAACATGAATGTAATATGACGTGTAAAGTGGAGAGGGGAGGGGGATGAATCCAAATAAAGAAAAGATACGCATATAATATGTAGCCATAACGAACATTAATAAAATCAACTTACATAATATGGAGTTACAAACGGCATAGCGAATTCTCTAATTAGAAGTACATCCGAAAATCTCCTTAGTTATCTTTTTCTTTTCATGTTGTTGCTTAAATTAGAGTTACTCCATAGGTACACGGTGTCTATCCCTGACTTCTTTAACCCATTGCTATGGTTTGTTGTTTGTGTTGAGTTTGTTTCCGATATTTTTCCTTTCGTACCACAGATATTTAAAGATTCGTTAGGTTAACTCTCGTACATAAGAAGATAACTCACTTTCCTCTCAGGTGATGACGTCACCAATCTGTTAATTACTCCTAGATAAAAGTTAGATCACAAAGCTAATTAGAAAATACATAAGGAACCGTCTCTTGTAAAGCTAGCGTCCATTGATTTGGAAAATCATCTGCAGAGTTTAGGTGAACTGATGGTGAACAGCTATTGGAATTAATTATGGCAATAGTGGAAAGGAAAATATCTGTGCTTTTTCTGGTGTTCTACCAGTACGGTAGAGAGACCCTCACAAAAATATTCTGTTTTCTATCTTAATTACGAAATGTGTACAAATATGCTGAGATGAATCTTTGACAGTTTGAATGTTATTGTTGCAGATGAGGACGTTATAAAAATATATTTCTAACTTCAACTATGTGCGTGAATTCCATATGGTTAGTTGCGTTGTAAAAATTTGCAACGGACATTTGGTATATTCCATTTCCTACCAGTAATTTACGTCTTCGGACGGACTGAAAATCATTTTTGACAGAAACACATGTATACCGATATAATTATACAGTAGATACCCCATATAATTATATCTAGAAATCCTATGAACACATTGGTTTCATACCGGCAAAAATCTATGATGTATGGGGTGTAATGATAACACTACCTAACTTGGATGAGGGGGAGATTGAATTTCATCTGAAGATAACAACTACATCGTAGTGTACTTACCACAATCCTCTCTAAGTGTACAGCATGCCATCTTTACAACGTAGGAAAACTTATTCAACACATGGACATACGTAGAATCTCTTGAAAGCCCATGGTTAGAGGAATTAGAAGGTAAATAGCAAAAAAACATTGGATGCGATTTTTTCAAAAATGATGCCATCGGCGTTTCGCTTACAATCTCAACCTTATTTTCTGAAAAAGGAATTTCGATTTCTGATTTAATATAGGAAATCCAGATAATATTAAAATTAAAGGATTAATGCAGTTAGATCTGTTGGAGTTTTTAGAAAACACATTCACGAGTCATTCTAACCTCAGTTTTTTTCCAGTTTGTTTCGATATCCAATGCATAATTAACGTATCATCATTACCTAGTTTAGTTTTGGCATAAACCTTTGATTTTCAGGTTTTTGGAACAATTCATACAAGACTCCTATTAAACGTTAGTTTCAATAATAAAAGTCATAATGTTGTCACAATTTATTCTTAACATGCCATAAAGGAGATAGTCAAGGCCACAAGTAACATTAAATCCTATCTGTTTTTGGAATACAGTCAAATAAAATAAGTGACAAGCCCATACTATGAAAAAGGAAATGCACTTATAAAGTACAATACAGTCTGTCATCAATGCTTCACTTCTACAGGATGAGCCGCTATATTTGCATGTTGAGCACCATTCATTATAGGGTGGGCTCCTTTTAGTTACCATTCGCCTGCTTTTAAAAGTCTTCTAAAGTTGCAAGATACTGCTCTTCTGCAATTAGTTTACCGAGTTCTGTAACATCTTTCACTTTCATCTTAAAAAGCCAGCCTGAAAATTAGTGCATTTTTATTTGAAGAAAGTGAATTTTTCCCAAAAAATCCAAGAGGGGGCCCGAATTCGACGACTTTGGCCCAAAATCACCTTAAAATTGCTTATAGTAAAGAACTGCATGATATTGAAGGAATTCTCGACCCCTTACGACTGGCACGATTTTCAATCGTGGAGGGGGTTATAAGAGAGAAACTTTCATACAGGAGGTACTCTAAATCATAACTGGTAAAAACCTCTGAGGCAACAAATACCAAGTTGTGATGTGCTTATTTTCTCAGAGTATTTGTAATAGATAGATATGATTTTCTAAATCCATTTATTCGGAAAATTCGAAAAATTGCGTATTCTTGTCATGTTCAAATGAACAAGTTTGCCAAAGTAAAGTGGGTGCCAAATGAATCGAAGTGTCAGTATACTGTACGTACCATGGTTTAATGGGCTCTTGTTGATGAGGTTAGGTGAAGATTTAAGTATTGTGTTCACTTCGACAATTTCTCCTGATAAAGGAGCGAAGACGTCAGTGGCAGCATGTAAACTTTCTACAGATCCACAGGAATCTGAAAAAGAAATAAAAACATATATCTGTGTCCAAGCCTTATAAATATCCATTGGGTTTATCAACCACCAAAGATCTTTTGACCTTAGCTTATAAACCGTATAAATGCTTACTTGTACAGGGTGATCCAAAAATGCTACCCTCCATTTCTTGAATAACGTTCTTAATATAACAGATGTCTTAATTATTTTTCATTTACAGAGAGTTCATTCAATGTGGGATAATGTAGTGCTTTTATTTTCAGAATAAGGTGTGGACAAAAGGAGAAAAGTCCTTTATCGTAGATTGAAATCTTGGTGTGGCAAATTTGAGAGCAATCAACCTCCATTTAAGAAAACTGTTGAAGAAATGGAGGGTTGCAATTTTTGAGTCACCCTATATTATTAAGAGCTTTTGTGTTTTTGTTTTTATGTGTTTAAACGCAAATTAAATATTTTGACAAAAAAGAATACCGTTAATTTCTACTGAATCTCCTACCACAGGTAGTTCGACGTGAAACATTTCTCCTAATTGAGTCTGAAACAAAAAAAATTTAGAATTCAAGTACCCGTAAGTTACAAAGACTGTTGCGCGTTAGGAAATTTCCTATTGTTTGAAAAAGTATCATTTATATCCACGAGTGGATATATCCTGCAATGATATCCACTCGTGGACATAAATGATATTTTTTTCAAAATCATAGGATATGGTTTGAATCCATGAGTGGATATATTCTGCAATTATATCGACTCATGGACATAAATGATATTTTTCAAAACTATTGGTATATATAGGATATTTTAGAAATATTTAAAATACTCTTACTCTAGGGGCGAGGAGGGAAATTCTCAATAAATGGAGTATAGTTGGTTTGGCAGCATTTTCAGTTAGGGGAGAGTCTTGAATGAAATTTCCACCTAGGTGATGGCTTCACAGAGTGGTAGGAAGTTCTTTTTTTTGAAGAGTTAGCCCCCTACCCCACAAAAACACCCCACCCCGGGGAAAAAAAGTGTTCACACTAAACAACCTTAGATATTTTGATGTTTGTAAGTGACATACATAGATATTATATATATAAATCATTTGCAGTATAATTGATGCTGATTACTCCTAAAGAAATTGAATATTAGTACAAATTGTGTACCCCAGGGGGCAAATTCGTGACCCATTTCCTTACTATTTTGATCCTTACTTTTCAAATAGACACTGTAAGAGGTTGAAAAAATTCATGTGAAGTGCCCAATAGCAGGGTTAGTAACGCTGAAAGATGCAAAGCCATGGAAGAGGTAGGAGCTGAGAAAAAAATTGTTGATTTTTTGAAAAATTTGACATTTTTGACAGTTGGATTTTGTGTATGACTATAGCTGACCCCTATAGTTCCTGGATCCATCCCTCTATGATGATATATATGGTTTTATAGTGTGGAACTAAGATGTAAAACATAATTTAGATGGGTTTTAAGGAAGTTTAAGGTTTTAAACAAGTCCAAAATTTGAAAAATTGTAAATATAAGGTTTCAAATTTACGAATTCCAGGTAGAGCCATGGCAGACCCCTATAGTTTCTAGATCCATTCCTCTATGGTGATACTTATGGTATTGCTGTATGGAACTAATATGTAAAACACAATTTAGATGGGTTTTAAGGAAGTTTAAGGTTTTAAACAAGTTCAAAATTTGAAAAATTGTAAATATAAGGTTTCAAATTTACGAATTTCAGGTATAGCCAAGGCTGACTCTTATGGTTCTTACATCCAAATGTTTTGATATCATAACAATTCAGTGTTAAACTGACAATATTTGAGCAATTTTGTAAGAAATATGTGATATTTGGTAAAAAAAAAGTTCAAGGTTGATTTTTCAAATATGAGTGTTCACTGTTCGAATTAAGAGGTGTTCAGATTTCAATTTTTAAACATAGGAGTCAATGGGAGGAAGGAAAAAATGAACTGGGGAAAAGTGTTCAGATTGGTTGGTTTTCAGATAAGTCAGGTGTTGGGATGATTGGTAGGTGTTCACAATAGTCAGATGTTGGGATATACAGGTTTCACTGCTGATATATCATTTATACAAGATGATGAACTAGAACTACTGTACTAGGTGCCTTTGATAATTTTTACCACAATGTTATACTATGTCAGGAAAAGAAAGCACCAATGACACTGTGCTTGTACAACTTGAAAATCAACAACACTTTAACATTTGATAAAGGTGTCTACCAAATGAGTAATCCACATAAATTCAAATACAAGCACTTGGCATGCTATTCCCTATGATCATTAGTTTCATTAGTTTCTCTAGAATCTAAAATTGACCTTGGGTTTATGAGAGTAGTAAATTGGAATGCAGTTTTATGGAATATTGAATTGGCTGGAATTGGACACACCTTGCCTAGAAATGTGTGAGTGAACTGTATGAGCTTGTATTACATACCTAGCGAAGCATTTGTATGGAAGTCAATGGGAAAGTTAGCGAGCTATATCCACCGATATTGCCCAATTACCCCGATATAGCCCGCTTACCTCGTTTTGATATTAGATTTCTTTAATAACCATGATAATATCATGACATCACGTCATTGATACAAAGTAACCATGGGAACAAAGGCATGTAATACATCAGTTATGTCACTATGACGTGAAATATGCCTTCGTTCTTGCCCAAATATAGAGCCTCCCAAGGTCGGCCTATATTGGGAGAACTCAGGCATATTTCACGTCATAGTGACATAACCTCTAAATATGGATACAAACAGTTCGTTTGACAATGATCATCTATCTTATCCTGTAAAATCAGAACTTAAAAAGGGGTTTGAAATGGAGATCGATGAAACCATATCACAAATTGATAAAACTTTCGTGATTGATGCAATTGCTATGACAAAGGGAAAATGAAGATTAACTTATATGTTGAAATTTGGCAAGTTTTGGAAAGCTATATTTGACTACTCCATCAAATCTAGTAAAGGAGCCCAGAGAATAGATTTTATATTAGACTCCTAGCTAGTTGTCTCCATCAGTAAAGGATTCTGAAAGAATGCCAAGAATGGATGCTTCCCCTATTGAACTTTAATCCATAGAAGAAATTACGCCATTACCTAAAAATATGAATACCTTTGTCCAAGTAATATAAGACAAATTTTCAAAGATTACAAAGAAATTCAATAAAGCAGCATTCTACAAGTGTTCCAAATGTCAAGATTGTTTTAAGTGGAACTATTGGAGAGAACTCAAATATCTGTGAAAATGATAACTGAAATATCCTATTAAATTCCACTCCTGAAGAGGCTGATTTTAAAATTATTCACTCTGTTTTACATTCAGCAGAACATGTGGGACTGCAGTAATTTGCATCAAATGACACTGATATTATAATTTTATGACTATCATTTCAATAAATGAAAAAAAATTCTTCAACTATGCTAGAAAATGTCATCTGCAAAGTCAGTATGTAAACATTTTCTACAATGTCTGTTTGTTTGAAACATATTGATCATATCACCATATATACTTTTTTGATCTACATGAAGATTTTAATGTGACAAGACCCTTTTACCCTAGAGTTCCTTATATCATTGCACTAACGGAAGTTTCTAGGCCCGGGGGGGGGGGTATGATCCTTATAATCCTTATTTTCCCAAATAATTACTGTTGCCTGATGACAAATTGTTTTATTGGGAGTCGTGATTATAATTTGATAATTCATAACAACATTTTGTATTAGGAGATGATCATTGCTTAATTACAGAAGGGGCATAACAAAATATAGAGAAAACATGTTTCTTTTAATTAACCATGCCTTTATGTGTTTTGATAATGCAGAACATTACATCGAACATGTTGATGTGAAAAAGTAAAAAATGCTATAATATAAATATCATCAAATAATAATTAATTAGTTATAATCCATTTAATCCATCGATTACTACACTGTATACGATATCCCTAGGAGCAGTTACACTTACTGGGGGATTTATTAACCTCTCACCCCCTTAGGAACTCAAGGATTAAGTCCTCAACTCTAATGATTTTTCTTTTAACAATACATGTAACATGGATCAAACCTGACCACAATATTTTCAACATCTAATTTCTAAGCTAAGTCATACATTCAAAAAGAGGGACATCCAGGGCTATACCTGAAATCGTAAAGGAGGACTGAAAGTATCGCAACAGATTTCAGCAATCATATGTTGGATTTTGGCTATTTTCTGAGGATTTGAGGAGGTGCATATGTTAGGCCAATGCATTTCCTCCAGGAAAAGCACCCATAGAGATGATAAAATAATTTCTATCTCGAGACAGGGAAGGTGCAAACAACCCACCCACATGCATAAATAAAATATATATGTGTATATGTATAAATGTATGTGTTTTTACATACAGTTAACCCCTTTAAATGAAAAATACATTCCATCGGGGATTTTAAAGATATCAAATATGGGTGACCAAAATTAAGCTGAAAGCAATGGATCACATGAATTTTCCCTATGGGAAAATAACAGGAAAATATTGTTTTCCGCTTTATCTGAAAGAAATTTATCCTTTTAATGGTTAACTATGTCTCAAAACGCAACATATTGATGCAACAAAATTTGAAAATCCAGGGGTGAACTGGGTTGAAAATCAGGACGACATTTCTCAAAAAACATGTGGGTGGATTGTTTTCACCTTCACTGTCTCAAATTCCAAACTATTTTATCATCTCTAAGAGTTCTTTTCCCGTAGGTAATGCAATGGCCTATCATATGCACCTGCTTAAATCCTCAGAAAACAGACAAAATCCAACATATGACTGTCTGAAATCTGTTGCGATACTTTCCGTGCTCCTTTGAGACCTGATATTTCTCAATTTTTCAAATATTGCACTTGTTAAAATTCTTAAACTTCCTTAAAATTCATCTTCGGTATGTTTTACATCTTAGTTACACACTCTAAAAGTATATGTTTCATCATAGAAGTATTGATGAAAAAGCCATAAGGGTCATCCATGGCTATACCTAAAATTCGTAAATTTGAAACCTTATATTTACAATTTTTCAAATTTTGGACTTGTTTTAAATCATTAACTTCCTTAAAACCCATCTAAATTATGTTTTACATCTTTAGTTCCATACTACAAAACCATAAATATCATCAAAGAGGGATGGATCTAGAAACTATAGGGGTCAGCCATGGCTATAGCTGAAATTCGTAAATTTGAAACCTTACATTTACAATTTTTCGAATTTTGGACTTGTTTAAAACCTTTAACTTCCTTAAAACCCGTCTAATTTATGTTTTACATCTTAGTTTCACACTATGAAAGCATAAATATCATCAAAGATGGATGGATCTAGAAACTATAGGGGTCAGCCATGGCTATACCTGGAATTCGTAAATTTGAAACCTTATATTTACAATTTTTCAAATTTTGGACTTGTTTAAAACCTTTAACTTCCTTAAAACCCATCTAAATTATGTTTTACATCTTAGTTCCACACTATAAAACCATAAATATCATCATAGAGGGATGGATCTAGAAACTATAGGGGTCAGCTATAGTCATACACAAAATCCAGTTGTCAAAAATGTCAATTTTTTCGAAAAATCAACAATTTTTTTCTCAGCTCCTACTTCTTCCATGGCTTTGCATCTTTCAGCGTTACTAACCCTGCTATTGGGCACTTCACATGAATTTTTTCAACCTCTTACAGTGTCTAATTGAAAAGTTAGAATCGAAACAGTAAGAAAATGAGTCACGAATTTACCCCCTGGGGTACACACTTTGTACTGATATTCAAATTCTTTAGGAGTAATCAGCATCAATAATACTGCAAATTATTCATATATATAATATCTATGTATGCCACTTACAAACATCAAAATATCTAATGTTATTTAGTGTGAACAATTTTTCCCCAGGGTGGGGTGTTTTTGGGGGGTGGGGGGCTAACTCCTCAAAAAAAAGAACTTCCTACCACTCTGCGAAGCTATCACCTAAGTGGAAATTTCATCCAAGACTCTCCCCTAACTGAAAATACTGCCAAACCAACTATACACCATTTATTGAGAATTTTCCTCCTCGCCCCTTGAGTATCTTTGAAACATTGAAAAATGAGACTAACTCTTATGACCATGGTACTAGGAATTGGTAATCAAACCGCCACAATAATCATGCAGATTAAAAAGCTATTGTAAAATTTTAAATGTTTGTGATTACTTTGAATTTAAAAAATAAGCAATCAAATAACTATATTGAAACAGTTTATGTAAAAATAGAAACATTTATATTTATCCTAACTTTTGTATATTTCAGATAGTAATGTATAATGTGCAGCAAAGCTGTGGCCTTTTGTAATTTAGGGAGTTTCAGCCATGTTAAATTTTTCGAAAATAACATGGCAGATAAGTATCAAAATATAAGAGGACACAGATATGATAGCTAAACTACAAAACAAACTAAAATATACAAAAGTTAGGATAAATATGAATGTTTCTATTTTTACATATACTGTTTCAATTTGGTCATTTCATTGCTTATTTTTTAAATTCAAAGTACAGTAGAACCTGTATATCTGAACACCTGGCTAATCCGAACACCTTCCAATTTGAACACTTTTTTCCGGTCCCATTTTTTCATCCCATTGACTCCCATGTTAAAAAACCTTGAAATCTGAACACCTCCTAGTTTGAACAGTGAGCAACCAGATTTGAAAAAGTGACCTGTCTAATCTGAACATTTTTATCATTAATCAACTGTCTGGACATTTCAATTAAATATTGAGTCAATGCTATAGTTGTTATTTATCTTTACATATACAATGTAATCAAAGAACCAATATTGTCTTAATTAACTTATTTAGTCTCAGTGACATCCCTAATTTGTGGAAAACAAAAGGATTTTTTGGAAAGGTGTGAATACAGGAGTTAATTGGTTTATCTTATTAGAAAAGAACTGAATATTTTATGTTTGGATTAAGAATATTGGAAATTACCTGGATGTTTTTGATTTGGATTAAGAGAAAGGTGAGAATCTGGGAGATAATTGGTTTATCCTTATTCTAAATTAACTGGATGTTTTTGATTTGGATTATGAACAGGTCTTAACTGTTTTATATCCCATGGGTTTGTTATGATAGCTAATCAATTCAATCAGTAAATGTTTTATAATCACAAAGACAACACAGACGACATTTACAGACAAGATTATATCACAAGAAAGAGAAAAAATTCAACTTCGACATCTTGAATGCCCTTGATATTTTAAAGGATTAAATGAACACTCATGAAAATTCTTTTTACTTGAAGAGGATATCTACTTAAATATTGCTAATGCTAAAAGTGCCAAGAAACAAACAACAACGAAGGATTTTTTCAAGCAAAAGTAACCATAATATGGGATAAGCCATTTGATAAGCATAAGATTTCGTATGAGACTATCATATACTTTTACAGTGTACTACAAAGTTTTTGCCAAATTATAAGAGTTATTTTTACTTAAATGATGAAATTGTTCAAAATGTAAATGAAACATAGCATATAGGCTATAGGCCTATTGTAGAATTAACTCATCAACGACATGTATTATTATCTTACTTAAATATAGTGGACTGAACACTGAACCCCTCCCCCCGACCAACAAAATCCTTGAAATTTGAACACCTGCCAATTTGAACGCTTTTGGCTGGTCCCATGGGTGTTCGGATTAGACAGGTTTTACTGTAGTCACAAACATTTCTGTTTTGACTATAACAAGGGTCGGGGGGGGGGGGGGATTTCGAAACAGGCAAAAATGTTGGGCCCCTAAAACCCCAAAATAAGGCCCAATTCTGAAAATTTAAGGCCCATTTTCTTATAATTTGGTCTAAAAAAGAATGTTTAAAGCAAAATACATTAATGTGTGCACAGCTAAATTAAATATTGAACAGAGCCGAGTATGAATAACATATACTGTATACGTAGTTGTCCAGAAAATCACTGAGTTGAAAAGTTGTAAACATTTTTTATATATAACTTAGGGACACTCAACCATTAGCCATGGCTGAACTTTAAAGAAATCATAAAACGCCGACTTACAAGAGTGTCGAGTGCAAATGTTTATGATCCAATATGTTAAATTATGAAATAAATTAAATGGAAATCTAAAAAAGGTAAAGACTGTATTAATTCAAAACTTACCTGACCATGGTTACTGATCCCAACAGTTGCAGTATTTCCTTCATCCATTAACACCCATTCATACTTATTATATACCCTCCCTGGAAGAAATAACATTTAGAGTATTTTCCCGGTTTTAGCACTGATAATACTGTTGCAGTATCTTCTATTTTGACCCACGTTCGGCTATAAAATGTTGAATAAACTTTAATCAAAGAAAGTTTCTCGTATTTATTTCAAACAAGCATTATAAATCGTTTTAATCTTAACTAGCTACATGTAGCTTACCCTACTACAAAGTAACAGGATTGTTATTTACCTTCAAGAAGTTTTTTGGTCGTAGAAGCCATTTAGCGTTTTAGTTCTTTCTCCACTGAGATGATTAAGCGTAATGATTATTTTTCTGGAAATATATTTTGATAAACACGAGATTAAAATCTCTAGATTTATTGATTTTGCCTCGTTTTCGTCTTCCTTCTCCTTTCGCTCTAATGTGGTTAAACTCCCGAAGCCCTTATATGTTATAATTCCAATGAAGTGCACATCATATGTAAACTTTATCCAGGAAAGTTTAGGGCCTTCGCTTGTGGTCGCTTCTTTAATACAATTATTTCATAAATACAGGAAATACATTTGACAATGTGGATAATATGAAATAATACAGTCAGCAGGTGTTCATAGTTTTTTTGTATGACGAAAATAATTACATCCAGTATCAACAGTGACTGATCATGGTAATTCATTAGATAAAACTTAGCATTCAACTACATGTAATAGTGCTGTACACTTTTATCCAATCCAATGCCAAAAGTGGCTTGATTGCTGGTAACTACAGGTTGTCCCGAAAATTTATACCAAAATGAAACATGAATTACTTCATTTCCTTCATTAAATATAGCTAGCCTTTTCGCAGGATAAAAAATCATTTTTTTATCAATAGTTAAAAATTCATAGAAATTTGTGAATTATTTACTGAGAAATTTGACGTTTTAGATGGCACGCTCTAAATAATGATAGGTCCTGAAACACGGGGGATAAGCAAAACGAGGGCGAAGCCACGGACTGCGACTCGCGTAATTCAAAACGAGGTTACAACGCATTATAGCTGAACAATGGCGGTAAATCCAAACTTAATTTGGAAGGCATGTTAGGATTTGGGGTAGATTATTGGTTTGGATATTCTACAGAATAGCTAGTATGTTCCAGTCGGTGATCAACATATTCATACTCCACCTGCAATGTCATTCTTGGTGCTCGGCTGTCCAATAGTTTAGCATGAACACAAATGAATTCGAAATCTGCCACAAAAAATGTAATTTTGTCAATATTTGTCCCTGATATACCGATTTAAACAAAGGAATCAGAAATGACACCGAATTAATATAATTATTCATGTTCTGTTGTTACAATTACATCTTCGTGTGATATTTGGTAAGCGGAAAACGTACAATTACATAGAAAATTGGAATTTATAATAGTCGCAGTCCATCCATCTGCCCAACGCAGTCCGCGACTCAGTGTTGCTTTATATCTGAAGCTGAACGCAATCACAGCCAAAGGTAGATAGCACAATGTGTGTACAGGAGTGGCCGAAATGGAGCAACTTTGGACAAAATTGAATATAAAGGGCTATTTTAATAGACCTACATCGTGTCGCAATCCATTCTGCAAATATATACAAGCTGTCAAATACAGCTGAAATCATGAATTTATGGTAGCTAGCAATATTGATGGACCGTTGGAAAGATCATCCAAAATTACATTAACTCACCAACTCTCCAATTATTTGATATTTTCCTGATATCTTAAATACTAGTTAATGTACCCTTCCCCAACAGCTTTTATTGCATCATCAAAAAGTTAATTGTTTCGCATTTCTACTTCTTATAAAAAGTCTCACCACTATTTATCACCAATTATCTATATATTTAACCCTATCTACAAATTGGTTTGTAATAAACATATTACGTTGTCATCAGGAATATAGTTTACACTATCTTATTTATTTCGTGTTCGCGGCTGGAGTGCGTTGCTTAGAATATCAATGGAGGCTGTGTTGCGTTGTTGAAATAGCTTTGTTTACTGGACTGCGTCCACTATGAATGCGCAGTTTGAATCTAATTTTCTCCTCATGAACACATTCTATTATCAAATCATTTTCACGAATTATACTCGGAGCTTCAACTAACCTTTAGGTATCAGAAACGTGTTAAAACTCCTTTCAAATGTATAGTAAATTAAATAATATGCACATATTTTACAGGTAAAATCAGAACTTTGCTACTGTTTTAGCTTGATCTGGACAACTGCTTATTTTCTTATCTACAGACCAACAGTAGATACAGAGTAATATTTTGGTCACCGATTAGACACTACGATAGCATTTAAAATACCTGGATTTCTCTATTTTGTCGGAAGAAGCAGAAGGCACTGCCGAATGTCCCTCCATTTTGGCGCTGGGCTGCGGTGTAAAGTTACGCGAGTCGCAGTCCGTGGCTTCGCCCTCGTTTTGCTTATCCCCCGTGTGAAATGAAGTATATTCCTTCATCACTTACAGAGTTATTCCATGTTCGTCTCGGTATAATTTTTCTGGGACACCCTGTATATCGCCACTATTGGGATACAACCATATTTACAATTTGAGTTTGTTCGGCGCTGGCTAACAATGGGGAGGGTAAGCTCCACGTTTTTAAAGATAACTTGTACCTAAAGTGTAATGTTATGGCCCCTAGGGATTACAGTCCCCCTCTCAATTGCTTTTTTCCGACCGGGACCTGATTTTTATTTTCTTAAAGATTTTCATTCAATCGAGCGAGTATTACGAAGGGAGAACTAATCCCTGGAGTGTGACATTGGTATGCTCTCTTACTTTTTCGGTGGTGTCACCACACATAATTTTATACCTTTGGCAATTTTTTTATTTGAAAAAAAATTTGGCCAATTTGAAGCAAGTTGAAAAAATACATTTTTGACCTTTGATAACCTTTTTAACCTTGAAAAGGTAATTGAAGGTCAAATCTTGAATATAGTCAGATTTGAACTTCTGAAAAGCTGTAGATGATGTTGATATGTTGAAAAAATAAAGTCTGTCTAAACAGTATTTGTTAAGTTGGAAGTTTTAAGAATTTGTTACAGACGCCAACCGCCGATCGCAAACCATCAACCGCCGATCCCCAACCAACGATCGCCAACTGCAACCACAAAAAACGGGGACCATAACGATATGTCACCACTTTTTGGTGGTGACATAACAATCATCAAAACACACTATTTTTGTAATATTATAGCCTTTATTTATAAGTGGGTTAATTATTTTACATTTAAAAGTAACATGGTGTTGTACAAATATCCATCATTTTTCATCATGTAAGCCTTTATCGGAGTCAATTTTGATATATCAAACCCCCTGTTAATTGTGTTACACATCTTGAAATGCCACATTTTTGTTGGTTCAAAAGTGGTCAGTATTTCTTCCCCAAAGTATTTTATCCATTTGAATATCAACCTTGTGATATTACACTATACATTTGTGTACATTTTGTAAACAATATATCACATTATCATTGATCATATCACTGATCATAGAGGATCCAGAACACATTCAAAATGAAAATAATATTTCAGAGAAAAAATTAAATCTGCAAAATTGGAGTTATCTACTTTTCTTGTACATGTACTTCTCATGATCATATACATGTACTAGTAGATGATAATCAAATAACTACATGTAAATGTATAAGTTTATGAAACTTATAGACTAAATTATAATTAAGTGTGTGAAAAGTGTGGAAATAGCCAAGGATGGTTGATATCTGATATCTGAAGCACACTCTCCTGATAGAAATGATTCATGATTGGTTACTTGTAGTTAACATGGTTAAAATTCTATTCTATCATTTGGGTTATTTTCTATATAACATTCTCTATATTTTCTCTAGCCCTACCAAATCCACTAGGGACATCTTTTTCCCCATCTATATTCCAAGTCCCCTTTCAGTTGACAGTGAACAAAAGAATTTTACTGATTACTGAGTAAACTAACTATTATATATTAAGATTAAAAGAAAACAGATATGATATTTGATAAGATAATGATTTATAATATAATGTTGAACATTACTAACAATTTCTACCATGTTAACAGTCTAATGATATTGCATGTGTATATTCTGAATCCCTGCATATTTTTATAGCATAATATCGCAGTTACACTGCTGAGTTAAACACTATGGAAGCCTCTTAAAAATATGTATATTATATACAATTAAAGGTGCATCATCACTATTTTGAAGGCTGTTGGTCATATCTCACACCTACCAATCTACAATTTTACTATAATCTATATACTTTAATCTATAATTAAATTATTAATTGATTGTAATAGACTAAAAACTATTGCTAGAAAATATATTATATATATTTCTTCCAAATTAATATCATCTCATTTAATCTAAACTGTTTTGAGAATACTGTTACAAAGTTTTATCTACTGAAAAAACTACTTTAAAAATTACTACCAAAACACCAGTGAATTGAACAAATTGTTTTAGGTTGGCAAGAATGTATTTGATACAAAAAAGTGACATGCCCCACCCTATGAAAATGGACAACTTTTAAGTAATAACCAAATTTAGAGGTTCAAATAAAGTACATGTACAGTCTGTCATTTGCGCATTCCTTCAGACAGCCTTTTTATATCATTCTCTTTTAAAATCACCATAATTCTGTTCCTTTCATGGGTTTAGCCCCTTTATGTACATATTGAGCACTACTTGCTATCATAGGATGAGTCCCTTTAAGTTAATATTCTCCTACTCATCCTCTATAGTAGCAAGATACTGGTCTTCTGACTTGAGTTCACTGAGTTGTTCACCATCTTGTACTTTTACCTTAAACAACCAGCCTGAAAAAATGTATTCAAACTTATTACATGTACCAGTATATGAATTATATACAGCGTCATGCTGAGTGGCAATGAGAGTTAGTACACAGCTGTCTCTCAAAGCAGTGTGGTGATTTCAAAGGTGCATTGAAGCATGGCCTTACATGAAAGCAGCTCGTGGGCTGTACATACATATCTGTTATGTATGGAATATAAGTGTTTAAATATATTTCAGTCTATAGTCTATGTATATAAACACTGTTAATTAATAATGCGTCCAGTAAAAAGAGTGAGAGAAAATATTATGGGCTATTGAAAGAAAACCAGGGTTAGGGGACCAATTACTATAAAGGTCAAGATTCAGATACCCTAATACACAATATACTGTACCATTATCTAATGGGCTAGTATTAATAAGAGAAGGTTCATTTTCAAGCGCTGTGTTCACTTCAACAATTTCTCCTGATACAGGGGCATATATGTCTGAGGCAGCTTTCACACTTTCTACAGTTGCACAGGCATCTGAAAAAGAAATTATGATTTTTGAAAATGAGACAATTAAAATGTCAAAGTCCTCCCATTAAACATTTGTAGATTACGGACCCTCCTAATATAAAAACCTAAACCTCCAAATTACAGCATTATTCTATATTCATTTGGCAATACAAAAATTGATGTGTAAAACTTGAATCTCAATTGAAATTTTTCAACTAGCTAGTATGAAGATATAACTTCAAATCTGTAATGACAAGTATTTCTGTAGTGTCTTGGTGTAATTAATAGTTTAGTACATTAAATTAGTTAATGCATATCAAATACTAGGTATATGTGTTTCTTATGTGTTTATCCACAAAATAGACATAAAAGATAAGTTGCATACTTCCAGCTTCTGCTGTATCTCCCACCTCAGGTAGGTCAACAAACACCACATCTCCTAACATGCCCTAAACAGAGAAAACAATGAGTTGACAAGGTACAGTAAAACCAATCAAGTAGAACACCTCTGTAAGTAGAACACCTCTTTAAGTGGAACACCTTCGCAAAAGGAACACTACAGTAAAACCAATTAAGCAGAACACCTCTGCAAGTGGAAACCTTCGCAAAAGGAACACTATTTTTTGTTACCATAGGTGTTTCAGTAACTACAGTAAAACCAATCAAGTAGAACAACTCTGTAAGTAGAACACCTCTATAAGTGGAACACCTTCGCAGAAGGAACACTATTTTTTGTTACCATGGGTGTTTCAGTAACTACAGTAAAACCAATCAAGTAGAACACCTCTTTAAGTGGAACACCTTCGCAAAAGGAACACTATTGTTACCATGGGTGTTTCACTAACAGTTTTTTTCTTGAATTGATTGTGTTTTGGTTATTAAATGTGTGGTCTCTTGTATTCTAATGCTACTCTGAGATTTTTGATATTATCTGATAGCTGGCTCTTTAATTACAAGAGGCGACAGGTATACTTCACATAAAACTGATCATCCCAAAAATGCAATTTTTTTTGGAATATGATGTTTTTTTCTTTCCATTAAATACTACACTATGCAGTGGTCCTTCAATGGTTCAATACTTACAGATTTACTCGTAGATTTAATAGAGAAACATTTTTGATGCCTGACACTATATAGATTCGTATTATATAGAATCAAAACCTACCTGAGCATGGTCACTGATCCCAACAGTTGCAGTATTTTCATTCATTAGCACCCATTCATGAGACTCAGCATATACCCTGGCTGAAAGAAGCAACATGAATTAGTAAGTATTTTCTTAGTCAATGCGAGTCCATGGTAACACCAAGTTCCAGTCTGTCCTCTACTTTAGAATGCATTGCTGGCTAGGGCTGTCACTATCTAAAACTGTAGGTCTCGAGATCTGTTTGCAAGTATAAACAAAACCTAATGCAGCTAACCAACCCTGTGTGTAATATACAACTCATAGATCAAATGAGATAGTAAACTTTGATGCTTTGTTATCCACGGACAATTAAATTACAGTTTGAACAGTCAAAGTCAAGATGTACATAGAACCAAACCAAAGCATGGAGTCAGTTGCAGATTACCTCGATCTGCGGTAGTCACTACAAGCACGCTAAAGTAGGCTACTTTATAATATATTTCAATGTTTCACTAGATGTCAATCAAATCTAAAAATTAGAATTTGCTAATGAATGAGACTGTCCATTATCTTCCAGGAAACACTTTCGTAAACACTCACACAGTTAACCGTATCAGCTCTTACTAATCAACCATAATCAGAAGTATAAGCATATTATCTAATAGACAGAAGAGTTAAATACTTTTTTTGACTTTCCATTTCTTCCTGAATATCAGATATAAATCATAACAAGATTATCCAGTGAATTTCACGAGAAAGATACGAAGGCCATATGCGGGGCTATATGCTTATGGAGAAAACAGATCCACTTCTTAGGAAAAGATCATGGAGAACAGCAATGAACAAATTAAATGCTTGTTTTGTTGTTGGTTAGTAGAATCAACAGAGATGTGTGACGTTACGATAATTTGTTTGTTTAATGTTTATAGTTGCTCGATGGAGTAAATACAGTATGTGACTGACGTCATAGTTCATGTGATACGTCATATCTCAAATCACAATCACATCATTTGACTACAGTGCTGATATAACATAATTAAAGGCCCCATGTAAAGTTTAAACCACTTTGGCTTATATTGTAGTCTTACCCAATGTTATCAAAGTGTGATATGTGAAACTTTTTTTTTTTATTTCAAAAAGTGGTTTTTGATAGACTTTTTGTTCCAAAATTTGTGAATTTATTTAAAACCAACTTTTAGAGGTCACTCATATCTTCTAATTAGCCAAAATTAATACCAATGCATAGCATACATCCTCCCATGTTTTTTGCCGAAAAAATTAAGAAAATCGGTTGATAAACAAGCGAGAAATGAACTTATCAGTGCATGAAAATGGTTCTGAGGAAAATGCATTTCAAAATTTTAGTTCTCATAGAAACAAATGGTACAATGATATCTAAAACATAATTTATTCTTCCTTTTAACCTGGTTAGACAATCAACATTGGTTTTTTATGAAAGTCTAGCATATTTAGAAAAGATTGACATCGAAAAAAAAAATTCAATTTTTTTCAAAAAGTTTTTGTTACCTTAGTGACATCACTAATGTTTCAAAATATTTTTGATAAGCTAAAACATTGGAGTGGCCCATTAAATATGACATTTTATTATTGAAATAGTGTGTCTTTTGTTCAATCTTTGCATTGGTGTTAAAAATATAATCTTTTTTGAAATGCATTAAGAAATATTTGATGATTAAGAAATTTCAACTTTTTTTGAAAAATGGCGGGAAATTTGAATATTTGAGAAATGAAATGCTCACAACTTTTTTTTCAAAAAAAATTTTTCGTTAAAAAATCTCTAAAATCACTTTTTAAGTCCTGACAAATAGTAAATGAATGATAAAAAAATATTTTCAAACTTTAGACGGGGACTTTAAGGGTGCGTTTTCAAACTAAACAGAATGCTCCTACCAAAATAAATTTGCCCACATACCCCTGAGACTCTTATCTGATAGATAGAATGCACATATTAAACAAAAGTTTTGCTATTATAGGTAAAAAGTTCTCTTGAAAATTCGAAGTGATTTTACCTGTTAATTCTGTCCATGTTTCGCCATTTTTGCGGAAGTTACACTGAAACGCAAACTCCATGAAACGAAACGAAATCACTAGAAAAAAACATGGCACACATTGTGCGCATGTGCAGCAAATTTTAAACCAATCAGATTATTTGATTATTTGCACACATGAATTATTTGCTTCTGAGCACTTACAAGCTTACCACAATAAACAAACCTGGCAGAGACTACCCTTAGCCTACTTCATTTTGGCGAAATTTCAGCTCAAACTCGTGACAAATGAACTATGCATACGCTGGTGTGAAGCCTTGGAGACACTCATTTTGGTAAATATGATTTATGGTGTATACTTTTCTGCAGTTTGTGGGAGTTTGGGACATTAAATGTTAAAATTCAAGAAAATATGCCAATTAAACGACTAATCAATTAATATATACCAGCACTGTACTTGGCAGTTGCCATATAAACTAATAAATGCGGGACTTAGGTCACGTGAATGGTCCTAGCCCGGTCCATAGAACGAACGGTACCGCCAACTTCGTGGGGGGCCTTCGTAGAAATGTAGTTTGTTGATGTGTCATTGACAATGTCCCAACATGAATCAGTTGTACGGTCAGTTGTATTAGTCTATCGATACAGTAAGACCTGTTGCTAATGCACTTATATTCGTAATGTATCGATTAATAGTGACAACACTAATTTAGACTCCTGTCAGTGACCTTCAATCAAATGCTTACATTTCTTCAATAATCAAGTGTTATACACATTTATTATTGACACTCAAAGTTGAGTCTATAAGTGTAGGTCTTACGATGGACAGACAGGTCAGAAAATGTTCTAGAGTCTTCTAGTCGCAATGTAAAAATATGTAAAACAACAAATTTCCAAACGGAATGTGAAATAACAACACTGTGACGAATCTACTTGTCTGTAACTGCCATATGCCAAGACTTTGAGCTAATACCACTTTTCGTTAGCCTACATGTAGTCCACACATTATCATATTACTCTACCGAGCTGACAGAAGTCAGCTTTTAGAGCCAGTTGTGTTCGCTGCAGTAATTGTCATATGTTACTCGAGTCTCTAGCTTACAGCTAGACGAAACTTCATTGATTTCGTATGTACTGTGCTACACGCACCTACACGCACCTAGAACTCATTTTTAATAAATTTTATAAATATTTTTAAGAATATTAATCATATTTAGGATGGAGCGTTGCTTGTCTGGATTTAGATATTTCAAAATTTCATTTCGGAGTTTTGACACATGGTGAAATTTTCTCGCTGTAGCTAAATATGGCTTCCGGTTCTGGACGTGAATAACATTTGAAATTATTCTCGCTTAAAGAAATCAAATATAACAATAGATTCAGACGGGGATGTGAGCTGATGTTCTTCAAATCTATACATAAAGGTATATTTCATATTACTATGCCATATTTACTGTGCGTGTGACACAATGATTTACAATATTTATAATACTAAGGCAGCTCAATCTTCCTCCTCAAAGCCGGAATATAGAGAAGGCTTTGGACCGAAGTAAGTCATATGACATTGACACTGACAGCTGCTGTAAAAAAATCCACAGGATTATCCAGTCTAAACAGCGTTGTCATTTACCTCCAAGAAGTCTGTTGGTGGAAGAAATACTTCTATTTATCATCCATGATGGCTGTTGTTTCCACAAATGAGTCGATAAGTGTCTAGGTGCATAAGAAGACACGGCTTTGGAAATTTGTAAAAATTTGGAAGCCATTTTGATTTTAGATTTATTCTTACTGAAACGAAACTTTGAAATCGTAATTATTTATCAGAAATATTTGATTTCTTTTGCAGTTTAAATAGTTATTAAACTCTTTAAAAATAAATATGTATCCAATTATGCAAAAGTTAGCTAATTTTGAACAATCATATATTAGACTACTGCAAGTTTCTATTTGTACTAACCTGACAAAGTTTGTAATCTAGATTGGCTTGGGTGGTAAACACAAATTGAAACTATTTCAAGACATTTCGGTGCATATCCCTCTTCCTAGCTGCTTTTCCAGGTAAGCTTCCCCTTCGAAATCTCAAATTGATGGTTCTCTATAAATAGATTATAATATCGTGTCATAATATTGATGAAGCGTATGTTTATTAACGTTGAAAATTGGTGACCTATTTTTTAAAAAAATCTTCGAAGTTGCCGTTCTTCTCAAAAATTGTTCAAGGAAGTAGGCCTAGAGATCTAAGCTTACAAAGGGTAAGGTATACGTGCAGTTTAGAGTTAGGTTGTCACCTATTATTTCATCTGTAAGTCTTGATTTTTATATCTGAAATTTTTGGTACCTAACAGTCATGATGGTTCTATTTTTAAAATCTCGCGCACATGAAGATCTCAGGTACCCTAAACTAAACAACAGAACGAAGAAATTTTTGTTTTTGATCGCATTATTTGCGTGTAATGTCTAACTTGTTTCAACCGTCAAATTCCTCCATTTATTGGTACTTCCGGGCTAGTCAAATGGGGAATCCCCTTTTAAAGGTTCTCTTGGCGTCATAAATGACAAAATATTGCTTCCCGGACGAGATCAAACGACTTTGACATATTCTTTACCCTACCTATTTTGTATTTTAACAATCAACACAAGTATACATACCATATTTAAGCAGATATCGGACAGATTGATAAAAAATATTTTTTGATTGATAAAATCATCGATTACGATACCGGAAGTGTGTTCTGTGACGTCTGCGTGTGAATATTTCAATAATTCAAACTTTGCCGTGGATTCGATTTTAAATGCTTCTAAATGTTCTTCTAATGCTTATTATGATTTCTATTAGTAATGCTTTGACTGCCCCGCTTCATAAAAAGAACATTATCAGATCATTTACTCTACTCGAAAATTCACTTCCGGTCTATCTTAAGAACAAATTTAAAAGTTCCTTGTAACTTTTATTATCCCAACGAACGAAGTTCGGTAGGGATATAGTGAAGCCCTCCGTCCGTCTGTCCGTCAGTCCGTCAGTCAGTCAGTCAGTCCGTCCGTCTGTCCGGAAGATGACTCAAATACTTGTGGACGGATTTTCTTCATATTTAGTTGAAAGATGTATATTGGTGAATAGTTTTGCGCAAAAAAAGATTTTTTCAAGATGGCCGCCGTTTAAAAAATGACCGGACTTTTTCGCAAAAATCATAAATTTTTCATTCTAAACCAAAGTAATTGATATTATTGTTTGAAATTTTGGTAGTATATTCACAACATTTATCTATTTCACATATATTCCGTGTTTTTCATCCTGACCCCCAGGGGCCGTGTATGGGGGGGGGACAGGAAAACAGAAATTTTTGCTAATTTTTAGATCTTTCTGAAGTATAGCCTTATTATACTCAAATGAAAGGCAATTAAAAGTAGATTGCAAATATTGTATCTTTTTTCTGATTCGAGCCTCGTAAAATTCAAAATGGCCGTCTAATGTACGATTTCGCAATAATTTTTCGATCCCTTCAAAGTATGGCTATATTATACTCAAATTGAAGGAATTTTGGAGTAGATCACAATTATGGTATTATTTTTAAGATTTGTATCTCAGAAAATTCAAAATGGCTGCTTTGCAGGAATTCGCAATTCTAAAATCTAATTTTTTCAATTTTAACCAAAGTAATGAGTATAATTGATTGGAATTCGGTAATTGATATTTTGTTCGTTGGGATTTGCTACTCCGCGGAGTTGCCGTTATCTAGTTTTTCTAAAAGTAATAAGATGTTTGTGAATTTTACGATCATCGTTCATGCCATATCCATGTATCAATGCAAAATAGGTTTGTTGGGGAAGGTAATAGGCCCAAAATGATCCAGGAAATGGCAAAAAGGTATTTTTTAACCATTTTATGTCCTAGAGCCCCTTTAAATCCAACCGCCATCTTGGAAAAGTGATGGAATCTCTCTCGAAAAGAAAAATGTTCCCGTTCTGCCGATATACCCAGATAATTGTGGATTCACTACACAAAATGAATGCTAAAATACCCAGGATTCTTTTGAAGTAGGTATCTTAAGTGAAAGAGGCGTAGAAAATTCTCCCATGTTGTAATCGTACAGGCAAAAGATTATACAAACCTCACGGGGGCGCCATTTTGTAACCATGGAATAAGCCACTTTTTAGAATAAAATAGAGATAACCTTATACATTTCAAAACATCTGGAATATTTAATTGAATCATTCAAACTAGACCATATATTGTATTCTAATGAATTAGTTTGGAATGTATTGATTTAGTAGTTTGACAGGAAATCTTCTGCGTGACAGTCTAAGGAAAATTGAAATTTTGAGCACTGAGTGAAAACCCTGCAGGGATATCCCTACTCAGTTTTATGTACCTGTCATCTCAATCATCCAATCAAATACTATGGGCTGTTAGCCTCCACCAACACTAGAAATGTTGAGGTGATGGCCCTAGATTGAGTTGACTGTCGAGTATCTGACCCATCTTGTTCTAGTCCTTGCTTGGATCCCGCGGATTCTTTCTGAAAATAACTCGTATGCTTTTGATCACAGATTAGATTTGATCACATACAGTCTAGTATGCATGCAGTGTTCTCCCGTCCCAAGATGTTTTCTCAAGTGGGTGCAATATTTTCATTTTCACAATTCAGACCAAAATTAGTCAAAAATATGCCAATTTTTCATGATTTTTCTAATTTTCAAGTGGGTGCAAATAGATTCTCAGGTGGGTGTAAGCCTGTTTTTAAAATCTCAGGTTGGTGCTGTGCCTTCTTGTTGCTTTAATGTTAGGGAGATCACTGGCATGTATGAAGCCTTGATCTCATAACAAAGCCAAGGAACTAAAAAAGGGGAGGAGTTGACAATTCTGTTATGCTTTTGAGTTTTGGTCTCTCAGTCCTTGAATTTTTGTGCGTGCTCTCTATTGGAACATATGTATTTAAACTGTTCCAAATGTTTATGTAAAGTTAAACAAAGAATTGAATCGTGAAAGATATTTGTTTAGTACTTCTTCAAACAAATATCAATCTACTAGTTTACAAAACTGCATAATTCTTTACTTGCCTCTACACTCGTTTTACTGAGAATAGGTTCTCTTTCAAGTTCTATTAAGGGAAGCCCTGGTAATATACATGTAAGTCAGGATCAGTATATCAGTAAATATAAGTAGATCAATTATCAATAAATCAGTCCATCAGTATATCAAAAAATTAAAATGACAGTAGGTCAGTATGGCTGCAAATCATTATATCAGTATCATATATCATGAATGAGTAAATCGATATATCAGTAGATAAGTACATATGTAAATGAGTGTATGAATCAGAATTCATACACTCATCAGAATTTAATACTTTCTTGTACTGTGTAAATAATCATGTTGTTACATTATGCATGTGTATTTTTCTGCAATATTATATACTTAGTTCCTAAGGGATAAGTCTTATATGACAGAACAGAACTGGTTAAGGTCAGGGTGCACTTTGATGAAATTTCATGACCATGTGCTATTTTCTGATAAACATAACTCATTCAACGCATCATTTCTACATCTTTCATTCTTCCACAATAGATGCATTAGTGTACATAGACTATTAATTGAGGGTTGATCATTCTTCAGAATGTTTGAATAACTAGAATATTCAGTGGTTTACTTTTCAAAATTGCAAAAAAATTCCAAAGTGCACCCTGACCTTTAATGAGTCATATTAATTGTGTTTTTGCGAGAAGCTTTAGGAATTTGGAACTAAATATGAATTCATTTCATTCAGTTCAAACTTCTTTGTGTAATTTCAGGTTTAATTTTACTGGGATAGTCCACAGTTAGTTAAAACAGGCATCTATGTATATCTGAGGATTTATAAAACAGACCTTCTCATACCAGTGATACTAGGGGCCCTCAGGGAACAAGCCTAAAGGAGTAAGATGGATCAGAGAAAGTCATACATCAGTGATGGTGAGTATGAATTCTACATCCTACAGGCTTATAGCCAGTGGGGGGGGAGGTTCCGGGGTGCGACCATGGTAATTGGTAAAAAATTCTTTGAAAATCATGCAGGTTTTCACCATTCTGAGCACTTTTTAAGTGGTTTTGGTCAAAATGGACAAATATGAACCCTTTTGAATTTTTAAAGATGTGAACCCCATCTTGGCAAAAGCAGGCTACTGTGTCACTCCAGGTTATTTCCAAAGAAGAGCATGAGGGCTTGGAGATGCAACAGGATAGATGAGACATACATGTATAAATATGTTTTATTTTTGAAAGTTAATGAAAGGCATGTGAAAGAATACATTGGCCCAACAAGGGTGTTCAATGTTCATGTCTGAGAGAGCACTTATCTCGATTATAGACAAGCCATTGATATTGATCATTAATAGATGGTCTTCGTGTGTCTGTATACATTCCTTCTAACAACACATTTACTATACCACAAGGGTGTCACCTATCAGCACATGTATTATGATATCCCATTGTCTTTAAAGTTTTATAGCTTTCTCTTTAGAAATTTATTTCACATAAGCACAGGTGGATGACTAAATTAAGGAATTAATTACAGGCGCATGGCATCTCAGGCTAAGGACAGAGGAAACTAAAGAAATACATCACAGACTAGGTTTAACTTGTTGAACTAGATAGAGGATAGAGGAAATTTAAGACCCACTTTGTCTAGAACTTATTAACTAAGTATCATACCTCTTCAGAAGTTCAGATACTGTATTTGAAGTGGTTATAAATCCCTTGATAGTAAATACTGAGATCATGTGTTCATGTATAAATACTTGTTACATGTACATGAAATTTGATCGTGAACAGTGAATGAACCTACACACATATTTGGATATTGTGTTAAATTCTGGATAAAACAAATGCAAATATAGTAGCTTTGCCAAAAGGAATACTCTAGGAATATTTCGGGAATAAAATATACATTTATGATCACTGGTAGAGCACAGTAACAAACAAGTAGGTGAAAGAGATTATCTAAATTACATGTACACGCAAGTACATTTTGTATATTATTTTTTGTTTTGTAATGTTCGTTAAGCAATGGATGAAGATTGTACCTGCATTCATAATGGTAATAGCTCCCAAAACTTTGACACGAAATAGTTTGTGAATAATCATATGATACTTCAAATCAATTCATGATCATTCATATTGTATTCAATAGGTTATTATGCCATCTCTTTTATCAAGGTCACCGATGAGTACGATATAGTATTTCTTTATAAAGTTTTATATGTCTCCAACTTTTTTGTGGATGGTGTTTGGCAGTTGCTGTCTGGTGTTTGGCAGTCGGTGTTTGGAACAAATGGCAGGTGGTGACATTTTGCATGTTAAAAACTATGTTACTTGTCATTTGCATATTATCTATATTTGTCTTTTTCAGTTGTCAGAAATTTGAATGAAACCTCTCAGGCATTGTGTTTTTTGATAATCTTAATATGTCAAATGCTGGAGCTACAAAATCAAAACCCAAATATATATTTTTTGATTTAAATCAAATTTATGTCCGGTGTACCATAAGCACAAGTCCATGTTTCAGTAGCATCCTCATATTTATACTCATCGCATCTCAGTGCTCTTTCCAGGTTTTTTTGTGTGGAGGATTTTGTAATTTTTTGTGTAACATTTTAGAATTTCCTTATTTTTTATTGTAACATTTTAGGAGGTGCATCTAATTGCATTGAGGAGCATTTTGGTATTGTAAAATACATGGAGGTGCTGTGCCTCACAGATTTCAATGTGGGGAGAAAATTCAAAAAATTCATAAAAGGCTGTGATCACAATGGACATGTATGAAAATATTTTTGTCAAGTTAAAAAACTATTAGATCTTTAAACTCAATGTGACATTATGTTAAGTGACATTAAGTCTCATAAATTACAATCAATTGTTTCTAAATTGCTATATGACATTGTATAAAGTACGTACTCATTGGTTAAAGTGTCTTTTAAGTCATGCCTGGCTATGTGTACATGTTAGACCACTGTGAGATTATGTTTTACGGAAACAACAAATAATTCTCATTCTTATATACAACCTTAGGTGGTTCGCTGCAATGCAATTTTCTGCCATTGTATAAATACTAATTAAAGCTTAACCTGTCCTAACATTTTGGTTTTGAATTAATACCAAATTATTGTTAAGTGAATACTGAATAAAATAATTAAAAATTAGTGACTGTTTAAGTAACAGCTATTAGTTTTACATAAAAAATCTCAAAAAGATTACGTTTTAGGTCATTGAGATCATTACATATTGGTATCAAAACTATACTATTTGTAATGAATAGATTGCAATATGAGTATCTATTCTAATGAGGATTCATGACATTATGTGAATTGTCTTTGAACTTTGAATCTTAATAAGGTACTTGAAACTGTATTGTGTGTAAATCAAAGATGACCAGTAGTTATAATGAAATTCACTTATCTCTACATGTTCAATTGCATATTCATATTGCACAGCCATTGAAAGTATGTAGATAGCCTTTAACCTGATCCTTTTAAATCTAAAGTCTGTAGAAGAATACCTATAGTACTGGGGGAGGGGGATGTGTAGGTCAAGGTAAGGACTGATCAATCAAGGATTTTAAATTATTTAACTAACATTAAAGCGAATGGTAATAGCTACAATGTAGAATTAATATACGAGGGTTGATCCAAAAGTTCTGTATCATTTACTCTAAAAATCGTACTACTTTATGAATATTGTTCATATTTGGCCTCAGCCACCCCATATAAGTAGTATCATTTTGTGTAAAAATAAGCAATAAAGTTGACTAGTAACATAGTTGTCTGGTTACCATAGCAACATGACATCAGGGTATGTTGAGCAATAGTGCGTCATATTGCAGAGCTGTATGTTATGTGATGTCATGCATGCTATAGTTGGCAACTGTGATGTTATATAGCATTGAACTATCAAAAGTTCACAATCAACCATCATGGTACTATGACATTGATAGAATAATGGCATATGTTCAACCACAAAATACAAATTACATGAATAGCAAACCGCTTCATTTTAAGAAAATTCTTGAAAAGAGATATATAAAATATTGGGAGAAATCTGTCAATGATAATACGTAAAGGGAAATTAGAATTTTTGAATAATATCAAACAACGATGGGGAAAAGAACTATATTTGGATTTAATAAAGAACGCTGAACATAGGAAATCTATGACGCGATTAAGAATAAGTGCACACATTTTAGAAATAGAGCGAGGAAGATATACAAGACCAATAATTCAGAGAGATCAAAGAAAATGCAAATGATGTAATATCAACACTGGTACGGAAACTCATTTTATTTTTGAATGCCAAAAATTGGAAAAAATGAGATATGAATGCTTTGATACGTTTAACTCAATTTGCCAAAATCTAACTGTATTGACTCCCGAAGAAAAGGCTTATTACATGTTTAATGCTGAGGGTAACATGTGTATCACCTTTGCAAAATATCTTTATGAAATTATTGAAAAGAGGTCAACTATAGGCTATTAACAATATAGATACATACATGTAGGCTAATAGTAGTGATTGGTATATATCTAATGATCAGTCAATCGCATTATATTGTCATTGTATGCCATGTAAAATTTGCATTGTATGTTATTGTAATTGTATGTATAATTTTGGTTTTTAGGTTATCATGTTTATTTGCTGTACACTTACCTGAAAGGGATTTTTAATACAATAAAGCATTGAATAATAACAATAACAAAAATAATATGAGGTCACAGATCATGTTATACCATTTTCTTGATCATGTGATCAGCCATTTTATGAGTCAAAAGTATCAAAAATGGATGTCAACTTTTTCCCAGCTCTACAATGTGTCACACTCCAGATTGTATTGCTCTTATATATTCAAATAAAGATTGCCTTCATGATATACTTGCATGACTTGCGTTTTGTCAATAGAATCATTTTATAAACTAACCAAGTCTTGTGTTTATCAGTATATTGTTGATGTGAGGCATTATTTTCATCATTACATTGTTTGCATCATTAACATTGGTTGCATCATTAACCTTGGTTGCATCATTAGCATTGGTTGCATCATTAGCATTGGTTGCATCATTAACATTGGTTGCATCATTAACATTGGTTGCATCATTAACATTGGTTGCATCATTAACATTGGTTGCATCATTAACATTGGTTGCATCATTAGCATTGGTTGCATCATTAGCATTGGTTGCATCATTAACATTGGTTGCATCATTAGCATTGGTTGCATCATTAGCATTGGTTGCATCATTAACATTGGTTGCATCATTAACATTGGTTGCATCATTAATATTGGTTGCATCATTAATATCGGTTGCATCATTAACATTGGTTGCATCATTAGCATTGGTTGCATCATTTACATTGGTTGCATCATTAACATTGGTTGCATCATTAACGTTGGTTGCATCATTAACATTGGTTGCATCATTAACATTGTTTGCATCATTAACATTGGTTGCATCATTTACATTGGTTGCATCATTAGCATTGGTTGCATCATTAGCATTGGTTGCATCATTAACATTGGTTGCATCATTAACATTGGTTGCATCATTAATATTGGTTGCATCATTAATATCGGTTGCATCATTAACATTGGTTGCATCATTAGCATTGGTTGCATCATTTACATTGGTTGCATCATTAACATTGGTTGCATCATTAACGTTGGTTGCATCATTAACATTGGTTGCATCCTTAACGTTGGTTGCATCATTAACATTGGTTGCATCAGCAAGCACAGAACACATTTTGAATTTTGGCTTCTTTTTACTCAGGTATGACATCAGAAGATGGTTCAAGTGCAAGACAAAGGCCACCCTCGCAAGCACTGTCAGACACACCTACATATGAGGGATATTCAAATGGCTCATTGAAACCTGGCGAATCTGAAGTGACACTTAAGAGACATGTTGGACTTATGGGAGGAGTCTCACTTATTGTGGGTACTATGATAGGTAAGGATTTTTATAGTAGGATATTCTTTTCATTATCAGTGTACCTGTATACAGCTTGGGTTTTAAGGAATGATATTGTGTTTTCAAAATATTTTTGAAAATAACACAGATAACAGGTTACATGTAAAAATGACATATTTATTCAAGTTTCATAGAAAAAAGACCATCAGCATTACACCCACAATAGACTACAATACTATATTGATTATATTTGCCTATCAACAATTTTTTCAGGATCGGGTATATTCATCTCCCCTAAGGGAGTGCTAGAAGGCACAGGAAGTGTGGGTCTTAGCCTGATAGTGTGGAGTTTAGCAGGAGTACTCTCCATGTTAGGTATGCAGATCTGAGTTTCAACTTTTTTATTAATGGTAATGATATAGAATTAGAAAGTTAAATCAGTAAATTGATTGACATAAAAAGAAAATTCTAAATATGAAGATGCTTTTTTGTATGATGAACTAATACCTGCATAAAATATTTTTTAACTATTTATTAAAATTATGGTAATATTTTAATTATACTCCAGATTTTTTTATGAGAACATATTATATTTTACATTAAATATATGTATTATAGGGGCACTTTGTTATGCAGAGTTAGGAACATTAATTGCTAAATCAGGGGGTGAATGGGCGTACCTGAAAGCAGCATTCAATGATATTCCCCCTTTCCTGATGGCCTGGGTTTCAATTTTACTTCTGAAGCCCTCCTCTATGGCAATCATATCCCTATCGTGTGGGGAATATGTAACGTTTGCCATGTTTTCTGACAGTGATATATGCCCATTACCCCCTGTCTTGATCAAAAAACTGATTGCTGTAATGGTCATTGGTAAGCTGATTGCCGTCTGATACCGCAGATGCATTATGGGAAACCTCTATTGGAATATTATTTTCATCCTTTTTTTCTGAAGGGGAAATAGAGCAACCAGTTTCTTGCAGTAGTTGCATCATATTAGTACAATCTACTCCTAAATTCTTTCACCAATGTGTAATCAACAATTAGTCCTTTTCACCATGCTAAATAATTCCTCTATCTTAGATATCAACATATCTTTATCTGTAATATTAAATGCCCTTTTTAAGAACTATGAAGAAATATTACATTTCATGAATTTCATCATGGGCTTCAGAGAAGCTCTAGAATACCCAGAACTGCATTAATATCACTAGGGCAGAGCATTTGTACTGAAAGGAGCGTTTTCAGTACAAATATGTACTGAAAAATATACTAGTTTTGTTTCAGTACAAATTTAAGTATATTTTTGTACTGAAAAATGCACTGAATTTTTTTCAGTATATTTTTCAGTACAAATTCATGTACTGAAAAAATACTGAATTTTAAGTACAAATTTAAGTATAAATATGTACTGAAAAATGTACTGAATTTTAAGGACAAATTTAAGTGCAAAAATATACTGAAAAATGCACTGAAAATTTAAGGATAAATTTAAGTACAAATATATACTGAAAAATGTACTGAAATTTAAGTGCAAAAGTCAGTATAAAAATGTACTAAAAAATATACTGAAATTTAAGGATAATTTTAAGTATAAATATATGCAATGAGAAATATTTGTGCCCAATAATGGAAAGAGAAAACGTAAATGTAAGGCATACTTTATAAACTCTAAATCACTCAAAAAGTTCTTAGAATGGTGAAAATGTGCATGATTTTAAAAGATTTTTTGACCGGGGGGGGGGGGGGGTGGGGGGGGGTTAGCTTGGACCCCTGAACCCCCCCCAGGAATGCTATTACATTATGAAATTATTTTGGATGCTTCCTTTATAGCAGACTTTAACCAAACTTAAAAGAGTCTCTGTAATCAGGTTTGTTTTGCCTTGTCAAAATATTTTGTTTTGTTAATGGATTAATAAAGTTTCTTTAGACACATCCTTTAAAGCAGACTCTAATCAAACTGGAGAGGCTAGGTTTACTTTAATCAAGTGTTTTCCTTTTAATAAGTTATGTTTTTGGATTTAATTATTTAAGACGCATCCTGTAATAATATCTGATTGCATTTTCTCCATCAATAAATTTCTTTTTAGCCCAATCAAACCCACGGGGTACCATCAAATAATTTTGGCAACGTACCGGAGAACGACATTTTACTAAGAAATGGCAATAATTGAGCACAATATATTTTTTAACTCGAGTTCTACTTTGATTTTGACAAAAGTAAGTATTCCATGCAATGGCTATTTCATTCATGAGTTTGAAGGAATTCTGTTGGAACCCAGTTCTGATCAAGTACGAAGTTATTGAAATCGGCGCAGTCGGACTTTACTCCGAAAGATGGTTTTTCGATTATAACTTTTTACAACATTTAAGTATAGACTTTTGAAAAAAGTACAGAATAGTCCTTATACTATTGAATAATTCTGTTATTTCTGATTCACACGACTCTGATTTGTTTAATTAAAAAAAAAGTTTTAAAAATATTACTTAGGAACGTAACCGGAGCTGGGAACGTAACCGGAGCAGATCAGTTGAATTATATAATTTAAAAAAATACAATATATGATTTAAAGCATACATATTATTTACAAACACATATGAATGTTAAAATGAGCATTTATTACCCTTCACTTACAGGAAAATCAATGCATGGCAATTAGTATAAATTAGAAATTAATTAGAAATTAGTATAACAGAGTGGGTTCTAATAGTTCGCTGAACAAATACAATGGGTGAAATCAAATGGAATTATTTGCTTACTACATTTAATCACTCCATTCTCCATACAATGATTGTTCTATGTTTGATAGCCTTTCTAAGGTAAGTGCACTTATGCATGGTAAATACCAAATTTAATTTTTCACAATGGATAATTTTTTTTCTTTAAATAAAATGTAATAATTACGCATTCGAACAATCCCGTATGTTTTTAAATTAGATGTGCTTTAAATCTGTAACGGGGCGAGTGTAAGGCCCGTGGGTGGCAAATAAAAGTAACAGATAACTAAAGTTAAAATATATAAAATAGTCTATTTCAAATAAACTTCAAACGTTCTCTGTACAATCTACATTATCATCTAACTCTAAGCAACTACTGAGGCTGGGCCAACACCCAAACTCAGCTACATGTGAGTGAATGCTATTATATGGAATACAAAAACAGTACGAAACAATCACACCATGAAAAGCTAAAAATTGCTTTAAATAAAGGAAGATAAAGTAGAAAGTATACAAAATAATTGAAAACATTGGAATTAAATATTTGAAACACTGGTGTAAAGTAATGAAGGGACCTGTTAAAATGACATGGGTGGGGATTGGTCAATATGAAAAGTAGAAATATAAACAATGTGAAAATGACCATGTTACAAATCATATATATTAATTTTTTGATTAAATAATTCAACTGATCTGCTCCGGTTACGTTCCCAGCTCCGGTTACGTTCCTAAGTAATATTTTTAAAACTTTTTTTTTAATTAAACAAATCAGAGTCGTGTGAATCAGAAATAACAGAATTATTCAAAAGTATAAGGACTATTCTGTACTTTTTTCAAAAGTCTATACTTAAATGTTGTGAAAAGTTATAATCGAAAAACCATCTTTCGGAGTAAAGTCCGTCTGCGCCGATTTCAATAACTTCGTACTTGATCAGAACTGGGTTCCAACAGAATTCCTACAAACTCATGAATGAAATAGTTATTGCATGGAATACTTACTTTTGTCAAAATCAAAATAGAACTCTAGTTAAAAATATATTGTGCTAAATTATTGCCATTTCTTAGTAAAATGTTGTTCTCCGGTATGTGCCAAAATTATTCGATGGCACCCCGTGAAACCTATCAAATATAATGCATATATAAGGGTTATGTACTGGGAGGTTTTGGATACCCATATTTCCTGAGGGATAAACCCTTTATTTAAAACTGATCGTACATAACATGTGTATTCCATACCTTTTGAGGTTTCTAGATACATTCTACCTTATTAAGTTCTAAAATTCAAAAACATTAAAGGTACACATTTTCTCAGTCTTAAAAATAAGTTTTTCATGAGATTTCCACTCATATTGCTTGAGCAAATTAATTAATTGATATCAAAATTAAAATATATAACATGAACATAGAACCTCATTTGTTCTAGTATAGCAAAATCCATGGTATAGATGTCAAAGTCAGGAAGATGTCGTAATTCAAAATCTAAGTATATTTTCAGTATAAATTTACACTTAAATATGCCCTTAAATTTCAGTATATTTTTCAGTACATATTTGCACTTAAAATCACACTGAAATTTCAGTATATTTTTAAGTACATATTTGCACTTAAAATCACACTTAAAATTCAGTATATTTTTCAGTATAAATATATACTGAAAAATGTACTTAAAATTTCAGTACATTTTTCAGTACATATTTATACTGAAATTTGCACTGAAATTTTAAGTATATTTTTCAGTACATGTTTATACTGAAAAATATACTTAAAAATTCAGTACATTTTTCAGTACATATTTGTACTGAAAACGCTCCTTTCAGTACAAATGCTCTGCCCTGGTGAATACTTCACTTTTAGTTTCTTTCAGCCTTAAGGCTGTTTCTTCAGACTACCTTCCATACAAATTTCTTTCAGATTCTGAATCAGTAACTCTTATTGTTGCTTGTTCCTTGTTCTCATTGACTGTCTTCTGTATGTGTGCTATGTATCATCACTTATCCCCAAATTAGGGGCAGAATGAGCAATATGAAAGCTGCATTCTGATTTGTTACTCTGTTCTTAGGTGCACTCTCATTGGCTGAACTAGGCACTCTAATCCCCAAATCAGGGGGAGAATGGGTAAACATGAAAGCTATATTCTGATTGGTTACTCTATTCCTAGGTGCACTCTCATTGGCTGAACTAGGCACTCTAATCCCCAAATCAGGGGGAGAATGGGCATACATGAAAGCTGCATTCCCTTCAGATATTCCAGCTTTCTTATTTTCCTGGTGCTCAGCCATTGTCATAAAGACTTCATCCGTGTCGATAATCTCCCTCACATGTGCAAGGTACATCGTTGCGATTGCATTTCCAAACTGTGGTACACCAGAGACTATACAGAAATGTATCGCAGCTGCTGTCATTTGTGAGTAGGGTAGTCTTTTTCAGGGTAGTCTTTTTAGAATAGTCATCAAGTACACTGCAGTAAAAGTGTGAAGAGGAACCCCATTCAAGTGGAACAGTTTTTATTGGCTCCATATTAAAGGTTCTCTCCACATGTTTCCACTTACACAGAATTTACTGTAGTACTTGATTTGGATAGACATTGTATCTCCACCCATCCAGTAATTGATGTCACAGTATTTGTTAAGGTTGCTTATAAAATATTGAACAGTTAT